ACCAGTCCCACCCCCATCTGTCGTAGCCATATCTCGCATGGTGCCGGTCATGCCTCACCTGTCACCGGCCTCAGACGTCACCGGTCCCACCCCCATCTGTCGCAGCCGTACCTCGCCTGGTGCCGGTCACGCCTCGCCTGTCACCGGCCTCAGACGTCACCAGGCTCACCTCTTCTGTCACAGCCACACCTCGCCTGTCGTCAGTCACGCCTCGCCTGTCACCGGCCTCAGACGTCACCGGGCTCACCCCTTCTGTCACAGTCACACCTCGCTTGTCGTCAGCCACGCCTCACCTGTCATCGGCCTCAGACGTCACCGGTCCCACCCCCATATGTCACAGCCGTACCTCCCGATGCCGGTCACACTTCACCTGTCACCGACCCCACCCATCTGTCACACTCCATGTGTCACACCCCGTCTGTCACAACAACACCTCGGCTGTCGCCGACCACGCCTCACCTGTCACCGGCCCTACCCCACCTGTCACAGTCCAACCTCGCCTGTCGCCAGTCATCTTTTAACCTTTCACAAGTTACACCTCGTCTGTTACTTACTACTGATACCAGCGGTGCGTTAAAATCCCTAAAAAAATCCTGGAACCGGATCCCTAAGATCAAGGTTCCGAGATCTTGCGCGATCATGTATTTTTCACAAAAAATTGTCGAAGGATTGTTTGAAATCTTAGATCACTTTTGACATTTTGTCGAAGGGTTCTCTGGGATCCTGGATATTTTTTATTTTTATTTTCGAAGGATCCTTTAGTGTCAAGGATCATCTTTTAAATGTTGCCCGAGGAATTTCTGAGGTTCCGGATATATTTATTTGTTTGCACAATCGTCTGTAGGATCAATGGATCTAGCCTTTAAAAAAATCTGGGGGATATAGGAGTTTACTTTTAATTTCACTAAAATATTTTTAGGGTCCATATGTGATGTTGACATCCCGTCTTCTTATCGGTAATCATGTCGTATCTCACAACTAAAACTACGTGCCAGATCAACTTTCAGTATTGTATGATACAGTCAGTACTACCTGCTATGCCATCCGTACCTTGCCAGCGATCCATTTATTTTCACTGACCACACGCGCTGGTTTTTGCCTCTCCATCCCTTTTTGTTCTTCATTCCCACCTAAATATTGATGTGTCTGCCAATTAATTATCAAAATCAGAGGCATCATCACGTCACACGTTCAATCTGAAAAAGCTAGGGCGGGGTGGGCCGATGACAGGTAGCACTGACCGCTCGACGATGGAAATAAGGAATCCAAACAAAAGCTTTGGTAAGTCATGACAACCTGTCTTCGTTTGTAAACCTGGACAAGTCTCACCAACAATAACGCTGTACTCTTAGTGACGGCCGGCACAGTGCTGTGCAGCTTTTGACATGGGTCTGGGATCTGACAAGCCGTGGTCATGCGCAGCTCCAAGAACAAGTTTTTCTTTTACGGATGTTACACGTACAAAACAAGGTTCCAGTGTGGCTATTGTCCATACCCAGCTTCGGCCCTGCCTTTGCTGGGCACGCGGCGAGTCACATATCTATACCGTGACCGGAAGTGGCTCGCAAGTCCCAAGGTCCGTGCACCGCCGTGTTTCGGTCATTAGTAGTCGACAGCAGTCCCCGGTCCTGTCGACTTCATGGACCGGGGCCAGCCGATGATCCCACAGCGAGAGGCGCGACCATCCGGTCGTCCAGTGTTGGCCACCTGTGGGAAATAATGACTATCTTCCAAAAACCGGATGTTCCCTTCCAGCCCTGTCTTGTCAAGTGCAAAATACGTGTTGATGGCACAACAGGCGTATGTGTGTGTGTGTGTGCCATTGGGGCTTCACGACGCACCCAGCTGCTGAGGCTATATGGCGTCGCCTGCCTCTCACCCTGGCAGGAAGCGCGGGTACCGCGGGGAAGCACAGCAGGCGTAGTTAACAGTTGTGCTGGCATGTCCCATTTAAACCCAAAGCTGATGCATCTAACTGTAAATGACTACAGAATGTCAGTCAATTTAAACGCAAAATATTTCTTACCCGTTACCAGCCAACATCGATGAGGCCATCGGTGTTTGGGTATTAGACTTGCATTGAAATCAATGAAAAAACTCCAGTAATTGATCATCTATCTGTGGTTGTATCTACAGCAACTTCATATTCTGGATTTTTTTTCTGCAATCCACAACCAGAGCTGGTGATTCTAAGAAAAAACAGGGGTATCTACAAACCTCTCAACCAAAGGCCGTCTCTAGTGCATGCTGGACATGCGCTTCCTGCGACCAAACCACAATCTGGCGCAATCTTGGCACAATTAGTTTGAGTACAAAAACCCGTTTCACTTGTTTGACTTGACCACTACAAATGTGTGATGAGGTGGTTAGCTGATAGGTGAGTCCTAGCCTCAGCGAGCCAGCTATCCTACTAGCATTTTGCTGTAAGAATCTGCTGATGCTAATATGGTATGGACTGCAGACTAGATTATTGATTCATACCGTTTTAGGAAGTGCAAAGCCTACGCCGGCGATGCGCATACACTATCACTGCATCAAACCAGGTCTCAACCTGTGTTGCTTTATTCTTCGCCCAAAGATTGTTCTTTGTCCAGTTTATGACAGATACGAAAAGGTAAAAAAAAATCGAAATTGTTCGTGATCTATGTCAAGTGCTTTGAATTTGTATCATAAAGGATAAAAAACTCTTCATTAATCCGTGTTAATGCAACACAGTAACATTAATCTGTATTAATGTAATACAATAACATTAATCCATGTTATTGTATCGCAGAATAAAATCATGCTGGATTGTTAACCACAACACTAACAAAAAAGAATGAGGACTTAATTTGTCATGCTGTCATGGCTTGCGTGCATGTAAATGTTCACGGACTACCTTACAACGCATTTCAGCAGTTCCTCTGGATTTGAATGTTGATATAACCACTAATACAGCTGTCAGAAGACGTTCTCCGTTTATTGCGATACACTATGCCAAGTGTTATGCCAGGATGTGGCAAGCTGTTTAACCTGAAATTTGCGATGGCAATATGTGTCAAAGGATCTTCCGGGATCCATGACGTTCTCTGAGATTTGTCAAAGGATTTTCCTAGGATCCTGGAGCTTTCTGAAGTTTTGTTAAAGGATCTTCTGGGATCTGGGATTTAAAAGTTATCGTCTCAGAATCTTGCAAGATCTGGGAGCCTCTTTTCGAGGGATCTCACAAGATCATGGGAACCTTTTGAAATTTTGTCAAACTATCTTATGGATCTTGGATATTGGTTGGGGATCTAGGCATATGTCTGATCAAATCATCATTTACATTACATATCACCCAATGGTCCATCGTCTTTGCCAGGACATGCAAATGACCTGCCACCGTTTACAAACCAAGAATGACAGTGCTCACACTTGACCTTTCACGACCCGCACCCGACCTTTGGCCGCCCCGCCCTGCATGCGTCACTGGCGTTAAGTTGGTCATCGCCCACACCGTTCTTGAATTGGTTAACATCTGTGACGGTTGGCGATAGCGCTGCATCCATCAGCGTTTGATCGGACGTTAGCCGCCGCTGCATCGGCGCTGTGCAGCTCGGCAGCACCTCGGCATCGGCCGGTGTCAGCGGCGCCGCAGCATCGGCATCAGCCGTGTCAGCGGCGCCGGGGCAGCTCGGCCCCGTGCCGGTGCCGCCGACAGCAGCCGGCATCAGCCCGTGTCAGCGGCGCCGGGGCAGCTCGGCCCCGTGCCGGTGGCCGACAGCAGCTCGGCATCAGCCGTGTCAGCGGCGCCGGGGCAGCTCGGCCCGTGCCGGTGCCGCCGACAGCAGCCCGGCATCAGCCGTGTCAGCGGCGCCAGGGGCAGCGGCCCCGTGCCGGTGCCGCCGACAGCAGCGGCATCAGCCCGTGTCAGCGGCGCCGGGGCAGCTCGGCCCCGTGCCGGTGCCGCCGACAGCAGCACGGCATCAGCCCGTGTCAGCGGCGCCGGGGCAGCTCGGCCCCGTGCCGGTGCCCGCCGACAGCAGCCCGGCATCAGCCCGTGTCAGCGGCGCCGGGGCAGTTGGCCCCGTGCCGGTGCCGCCGACAGCAGCCCGGCATCAGCCCGTGTCAGCGGCGCCGGGGCAGCTCGGCCCCGTGCCGGTGCCGCCGACAGCAGCCCGGCCCAGGTCGGCCCCAGTGACGTCGTGCTGACCGAGCCAACAGCGCCGCCAGACCCTGCTCCACCCCAGCCGACCACGCGGACCGAGAGTGTACGACCCCCGCCTGAAGTTACGACAGGGCCGGCTCTGCTGGGAGCTCCGGGAGCGTCTGCAACGCCTCCGCTCCCGACGCTGTCCATCAGCGCCGTCTAGACTCAGCAACTCAACCGATCCCAGACTAAGTAACGGCCCGTGTAAATGTGCCTGCCCTCGCCGCAACGGACGCGGCCATCCGCGGCCAAGTTTGTGTGGAAAACTCCTCGGTCCGAAGGCCCTTCGTACAGGGAAAGTTTGGATTTTTACACTTTGCCAAAAGCTTAGATATACCATTCAAAAATTTAATAGTGAACAAAACACTCATGTAATACAACCAACACCGTTCAGAGCGAACCCGTGCGTGACGGTTGTGACTATTCTGAAATTGATTGACGAGTTTACGATGCCAAGCCATTCCATCAAAGCAGTGCTGGATGGCGACCAAAAAGTAAAAGGACCCTGAAAGCCACGCCTCCACTCAAATCCAACAGAAAGATGACATTGGAAGGATCGCTGCATCCACCTTTAAGCATGGGAATTGTCAAAAGTTCAACAAATTTTGCCGAGTTTACGGCAGTTCACCCACTGTGATGCTTTAATTGCCGCCGCAAATTACAAGCGGCAGCGACCTCCACTAAGTGAATCCGTAGACAATTGCCGCTGCTGGTCACAAAACCTGAGGACTTTGCAAAGCCCTATGAATTCTGATCAAACCACTCATGATGGAGAGTGACGCAGAGTGCACACCGGGCGTCAAGGGAGCGCGAGCGTTATCTGCAAGCTTACCTGTGACGTCATGAACTCCACCAGGAACATGGCGTAGAAGACGCAGAGCCCGGCCGGCGTGACGTGGTTGCGCTGGATGACGTAGTGCAGGTGGTCCAGACAGTGCGAGATGTTGAACAAGCCGTCGCAGAAGGCCATGTACACTGCTATCCGCTCCCCTGCGGAAGCAAAAGGAGGCCGGAAAGCAGAAGATCAGCGCAGGGGATCAATGGTCCCCTCCCCCACACTGTTGGTTAACATCGCCCTCATGAATGTGGTCCTCATGCCAAGCATAACGCATCGCTCTCATGGTCACCACACACGCTTGAGATCCCTACTGGCACCTTGCCAGGTGTTTTGGCAACTAGTCGGTGGTCTCGCTCGTTGGTCTCGATCGATTACGTGGCACCCGAACAATCATGCCTGAACCATCTTTAAAACGGAGGTAATTGGCACTTCGGCTCGGGCTTAAGCTCGCCGACTCTAATGGGCATGGGGGTGGGCCCCGGCAGCGCGTGGCAGAGCAGCGACGGCACGATCACAGAAATCACGCCAATCATTCTCTGTCCAGCCAAATGGAAAATTAGACTCGGAACCTTTTAAAAAGACAGTAGTGTTTCGTCGGATGGTGCTGAGATCACTGCCGTCGCTGTGCTTTTCTCGTGGCGCGGACAGCGGTCTCGCGCCACCGGATTTCCTTTTCCAGTCGAGGATATGCGATGCCGTGGGAAGGAAAACGACGACACTCAGCGCGCCTGCCGCTGGCCGCGCCCCCGGGACAGGCGCCATCGCCATCGCTGTACCCCGGGACCGGCGCCATCGCCATCGCTATGACCCGGGACGGGCGCCATCACCGATCTGGGCCCCCAGACCAGCGCGATCACCATCGCTGTACCCCGGGACCGGCGCCATCGCCATCGCTGTGCCCCGGGACCGGAGCCATCACCATCGCTGTGCCCCGGGACCGGCGCCATCACCATCGCTGTGCCCCGAGACCAGTGCCATAGCCACTGTCGCGCCGGCATGGCACTACGGCAATATCAGTAACAGCTTGGGTGGCAATTTAGGGTGCACGAGAAAAGCGTAAAAAATTCACTAAGTGTGACGTCAGGAAACATGTTTTATGTCAGTGTAAGTTCACTCTTAACACCCGCTCGGGTGGGGGTCAAATTGACCCCCTCCCTCGAAGGTTTTTCCAGAGTAGTTTGCGAACGGTGCGGCATTGCCTCGCCAAATTTTGCATAACATTTGACAATTGAATAGTAGATCGTTTTGTATTAAAAATTTAGTTCTTATCTGTAAGGTCGCTGACCTACGGCAGGTCAAAGTCAGGCCATGGATTCTACGAGGTCAATTTCTAGGAAATCCTTCAATCTGGCGCAACAACGGAGTGCTAGACAAAGCCAAACATCTCTGAGATATTTTCTTAGGCAACACAACAATTGAATGAACAACTTCCATTGATCTAGGGTCAGTTTTAAAGGTTAGACCAAAGTAAAAACCAATCTGGTTTATTACTCTAGGGCTTGCTGTATGAGGTAATTTGTGGTGCTCATTTCGAATTTATTGATAACAAGTACCGTATTATATATCTCTCATGGAATTGTCAAAGGTCAGAATAGGTCACTGACGTTAACTTACCCAGGTCAACATTTTGTTTTCAAGAACATCTTGCCTAACGTAATCCTTACGCTTATGCAAATGCAAAACTCAAAGCAGAATTGTATTGTTTTGGTCACTGTGACCTTTGAAAGGTAAAAAAAGTCAAGGACATTAAAACGAGTACGTGACCTTTTGCTTAGAACAGGTATCTAGATTCTGGGAACACTTAGGAGACCAACCAACCAACCGATATTCACCTTGTTTGAGCTCATTTGACCCGGAGGTCATGACCCAGGAAACTCAAAATTTGACTTAAGTGAGTTTAGGCACAAGCCAACACACACGGTCAAGTTAGTGTCTCTAGCTCTCTCAGTTCCTGAGATCTCGGTGGGGGATCAAATTGCCCCCCCCCCCCCTTTCACCCAGTGAAGGGCATGCAACCGGTAACCCGGGAGCGCGTTAATGTTTCGAAGTATATTCCTTGTTTACTGTCAACCTAGTGAAAGTTTCAAGCCGAATCGGCTCTAAGTAGCGGAAAGGAATCCACTAATACCGGGTCACTGTCAAGATAGCTTCGTATTCATATACACATCATATTTACACTCCGATACGAACCCCCGCGCCTTAGCTCAAATTGTCGCTAGTAGTGTAGGGCTCGACATGCTGAGATTACGATGGCGCTCCTCGCGTTAAGCCACCTTCATGTGATTTCCTGTGGTTTAAGAGGTTCACGGTTGTCACTCGTACCAATAAGACGTTTTTTTTTCTTCTGAAAATCATGTCGATATTAGAGCTAGATATGTTGATAACGTTTGTGTGTCTCGTTACGAGCGCATTCAAAACTATGATCATACTGCTAAAATTCATACAACCAGCAATATGAAACATGGTGATTACGATAATGCATCTGTTTTTCGCCACTTTAAGAAACACGGCCGACAGTTGTCTACAAAGTTAAGGTCGTCAAACATGAACCGCTATTTTCTTCTGAAACTCACGTAGGTAATGAACTTTGACACGCTGATTATTATTGTACATATCGTTTTATCATGCATTCCAAACTATGACTACCGGAAGCGTACAAGGTTCAAGGACGTTACACCCGGAGGCCGGCGATTTGTCTCAAATTTTCACTCAATAATGGTGTCTGACATGCTAATTATGCTGATGCATCTCGCTTCGAGCCACATTCAACTTACGAGCTCAAGATACATGGGGCTAGGAACAGGGGGCAGAGGCCAAGCTCCTTCCCCCCATTTGTAAAGGGGAAGGTACGTGACATTCGTCGTGAACCAGTCGAAAGCCTGAAAGGTTCGGGACTCTAAGACAGCACTGCTGGAAACGGGATATTCAAGCGTGTGAAGGACAGCCTTTACAAACCAGACCAGTTTTCTCATTCTTTGTATCTGCCTCAGCCATACTTCCCGAGTGGTCAAAGACATGAAAGGTACTTGAGATGATATAAGACACTAGCTGGACAGCCTTTGGAGACTGGTTTCAAAAACATTCCTCAGAGCACAGCCGACACACCACAATTCTCCTGCTTCGCTGCTGCCTTGTGATGGTCGTCCCAACTCCCCTTTTCTATGAGCCTTTTTCTTTCCACACCCCGCGAAGATAGCTAAAGCAGAGAGGCCGGATTTCCTCAGACCGGTCATTTCCCCGGGACTTAAATGTCATTGTGTTTCATGACCTTCGTCTGGAGGCCTACCGGGAATGGAGCATAGGAAACTTGTTTTTTTCAACAATGCGTACATTACGTTGCACATTTGACCTGACGGCCATTATCCGACGGCAACTGACCCACTGAACTTGTCAAGCTCAGAGAAGTACCGCAGCATTAAATACCACGGGGATCACACATATCCCTCGATTTCCCAAAGAGCTTTAAGATCCCGAAAGTTTTTCGAGAAAAAGTTCAAGAAAGACTCCAATTCTTGCAAAATCTATCGACAACATTGAAAAAGATCCTATAGGCCAGCAAATCCTTTAACACGCTTCAAAAAATCAAGGTCCTAGAAGATCCTTCTACAAAAATGGAGAAGATCCTAGTTCCCAAAACGTCCGTTGGCAACATTTGAAAAGGCCCAGGATCCCAAAATATTACAAGATCTAGTAGTCCACAATATATTGTGACGCCTAGTGTCAGTGCAATTTTTAGGTAAACCAAATTATCACATCCTGACGCACCACTCAACATGGTTTCTGTATCCCCACTGGCAAATAATGTTATGTAACACCTGTGGCAATGGCTATATCAACCTTCAAACGCAGGGCAACTGCTGGAATATGCAAGAAAAAGTTCTGTATAAAATTCATGCACAACCCCTGCTACCATGACACAAATTATGCTCTCATTACTTTTCGTGACTGCTTTGCCAAGACAACATCTGTATATTTAGCAAGGTAACAGCGATGGGTTTCTAAGTGATGCTGCAAAATTTAGGTTTATGAAATACAAAAGCTCTGAAGGCTTCTGGAGAAATAAAAATTTAACCTTCCCAATACAAAACTTGAAAAAATAAAGAGCAGCTTGACGTGACGAACAATACAAAATGGTGTCTTTTGGTATCTGTCATGAACTGGACTTAACCACGTTGTCGGAAAAATAACAAGGAACGCGGGTTCAGATTTGGTTTGATGCCACGACAGTGCACAGGCATCACCATAGTAGGCTTCGCACTCCCTAAAACGTATGAATCAAAAGCCTCGTGTGAAACGATATAACGTTGTAATCCGCAAATACACCAGACACTTTTTAATAATTACTCCTTCATTAAGCTTCATGAAACATGTAATGCTATGAAACACCATTTTACCCCGCATATGTTGCCAGCCAGTTCATATCAACCATCTCATAAACACGTAGTGCGGCTGTCATTAGACTGCGAAGACGTTGTATCGTACCAACGCTTTCAGCTGATTGCACGGTAACATCACGAAACCACACATCACTGTAAACCAGTCAATAATGCCTCACCCGGCCGCACGGCACGGACGGAACCAGACGGGATCCGACAAAAGTGGGCAAAAGCGGACGAGACAACGATCGGGCGGGGCCGGGTGGAACATAATGAGACTACACGGGATCGGATGGCATCGAACGAACCGGACTGGCGGGACGGGATCAAGGGAGCCGGGATGTGATCAAACCAAACCGGAAGGGATTACATAACATCGAAGGCCATCGAACGTAGCTTATCAAAACCGGACGGGATAGAAAGGGATCGGACAGGACCAGACGGCGTCGGATGGAGCGTGATGAGCCCAGACGAGACCGGGTAAGATTGGAGGAGACCGGTCTGGACGGGACGAGGCACGGGACTCGACGGTGCCTCATGGGACCTGACGTGATAGGACGGGACTGGACGGAACCAGATGGAACTGGACGGGACTGGAAGGGGCGAGAAAGAGCTAGACAGAACAGGACGGAGCCGAACGGGACAAGACCAAACCAGACGGGAGCGGGCGGTACCAGACCACGCTGGACAGAACCAGATGAAACCAGTCAAGGCCAGATGGGACTAGATGGGACCGTACCGGATCGGACGAGATCAGACTGGGCCTGTTTAGTCCT